GCTCGTCCATATGATACCCACATACCCATTTTAGCTTATTGCCAATGAATGCCGCAGCAATAGCAAACTAGAGGAACAAATGTTTAGAAATTCGACTCCATTTCGTATTAAATGCTTAGTGAGCTAACAAGGAAAGAGGCTGCTTTTATCTTTCCATTGCGTATTTATCGATCACTTTCAAATGAAAGTATAATGTGTGACATTACATTACCATAAGTGAGCAATATCCAACAATGCATTGTTGATGTAATCGTTGAATTGTCTTCTTCTTGTAACTGTTAACCTCCTCGCTTTGCGGTCTCGCATGCGCTACTGAAAATAATATTGTATAAGGACCATTTCATGATTACCGCAAAATAATTTTAAATGGAGTGATGGCTCAAGCTTACCAGTATTGTCGGCCGTATTCGTACGTTAGATGTATTACGGATCGAACGAACGCAGCTTCCTCCGCTCACAGCTCCGTGCGCACACCAATCAGTATTCCGAAGCCGGCATTGATGTAACCTGCATAAAAAATGTATTGTTCAATGCCAAGACGTAGATCAAGAATTTCGTAGCAAGAAATCTGTAAAACAAACCAATGATTGCTCCAATAAAGGAGCTGAGCAGCTTCGGGTGCTTCCCTTTTGACTAGTGTGTGATACTGTGTACTGCGCTGCTTCGTCAGTCGGCAACATCTACAACAACAAAATCCGCCAATGTAAGTGACTGACGTTTATCCAGTCCATCGTTGAGGTTCTTGTTTAGAGTCTGAATTTACCTGCGCAAACAAGTAGGACAGGCATGGCCGCAGAAATTCCGATTTCTTTGCGCCGTGCACTTTGCCACCTTCTCCACAGTACTGCAGCAAAATTGCTTCGAAACTGTATTCCCTTCCGAACAATTCCAGACGCGTGTCTTTAGGGACACGCGTTGGTTGGAATTCATATGCATCCTGTAAGTGCTGTCCCTGTCAGATGAATACTTCAACTACTTTCAGTTTTGGAAATTGCACTGCAAGACTCACATCGGCGATTTTCGTCACAGCTCCAGCACTCATGTATCTCTGTTGGCACTTCAGTTTGTAGTCGAGCGCAGCGACGCATCCTATAAGTTGTCCAAGCAGTTCTCTGCTACTCTTGAGAGCTGCTTTCAGGTCTTCAGTGCAAGCCGCATTTGCGCTTGCAAGCGCAAACCCGTTTCCAACCCCTTCAAACCTTTGGACGATTTTGAAAACATCGACCATAGCAAACTGCGCCCTACGTCAGTGATTGTCTGTTATAACCTACAAAACAGTAGTAAGCTGCTCAATCTCGACCCCGCATGCATCTGCAGCAACGACATTAAAATAATCTTACTTCTAACTGAACGTTGTTCGGTGTTTTCACTAGTTGCTCGCATAGCAGACCCGCATCCACTGAACCCCGCGCGCGAATCTGTGTTGTCAGCGGACCTTGGCTTTCAGTCGATGGCTGTGAATTCTGCAGATTTCTTATGACAGTGCTACTTC